AACATCTTTTGAAGAACAAACCTATATGAGTCTGATTGTCAAACGTCGCAATCTATAAGAGTAGGGTTCTCTCTAGTAAACTCATGAAAAGTCACAGAGTATGACGATAAGCTCCACCCGCGGGGAATACCCACGGTAGCCTAGTATCGGTCAAGGCTTTATGTGAAGCTAGATTCGCAGAAAACTTGCAGTTCAAGGCCCAGTCCACTGTTCAAGTTTCTTACTAGTGTAGCATAGAGTTCTAGATGGAAGTTCAACTTAACAGTCTTCACTGCAGTACCGGTATATAAAACAGTGTTTTGAAACCAAAAGCAAATTTTGTGTGCCTTTGGAATTTGGTAGAGGATTGCTGGAATTTTGTCTATTTTGGGCCTAGCCTAATAGCAGTTTTAGAAATTCCTAATAAATCCTAGAGGCCCACACAACCCATTCGTGCAAGGCAAGAAGTGGAACTAAAGTTTAGTCGCACATTGCTAGTTTAGAGGGAGTTGGACCTTTTTATAAGGGAGGTTCTTTCCCCACTTGTATGAGCATGAGAACAAGAGGGACATCCACGCCCGCCACGCCACGCCTCGTCACGACGCGACGCGACGCGACGCGGGTTGCGGGAATGAGCCGAGCCGATGTCTAAATTTTTGCCACACACGACGGGTATGCGAAAGGTTACGCGGAAGCTGAAATGTTTTTCTGTAGTGGACACTGAATCCGAACGGCTCGCGCTTTTCGGCTGAAGCTTCGTCTCCCTCTATTGCTTCACCTCCCGTCGCAGCCTGTTCGCTTCCTTCTCCTGTGCCTATATAAGAGAGGTCGCTCCTCTCCAGAGTGGCACACCAGAAACTCATCTTCCTCTCGCCACAAAGTTCCGAGCATTGCGCTGTTTCTACGTTCTTCCCCATCCCGGCTTGCGGTGTGCACCGCAGGTCGGCACAGTAGGCCTCCGGAACCGCGTCTTTTGAATCTTGTACAGGAGAAGGGTGATAAGATTTTTGGGGAGCACTCAACGCGACTACTGACTTCTTCGTCACGGACGCCCCGGACTCCGACGACTACTTCCCTGATGACGACTTCTTCCCCAACGTCGACAACCTTCTCGATGACATGGCTAGTGAGGACACCGACCCCAAGTCTAGTGCTACTTCTGCTGCTGTCCCGTACGTGTTCTTGCTCTTTCTGTTAGAGGTCCTCTCGCAGTTCTTCGCTCTAGTGCATGTCCTACATATGTTAGGTTCTACGCCATTTATGCAACCTGTTTCTACTATCTGCTTTAGACATATTTGGTTGCAGTTCATATATGAAGATGTTATTTACCTTTTTTTTGTCAGATCGCATGACTACTTTTATCCATGTTATATTAGTCATGCTTTATCTAATCGAGAATGCTAAATTCCTGCCGACTGGCAGTTTGCAATAGATCCGAACGATTCGTTCACCGTTGGATCTGCATCGAACGCCCCACGCAAGTTCCACCTTGCACCTTTTTTTTCGGCCATCATTCCCGCGAGGCAGTTTCCTATTTTTTCGGCCATCATTCCTGCGAGGCAGTTTCCTATTTTTTCGGCCATCATTCCCGCGAGGGAGTTTACTCTTTTTTTTTTGCCATCATTCCCGCAAGGGAATTTCCTATTTTTTTTGGCCATCAATCCCTCGCATAAGTAAGTTTCCTATTTTAGGTCCCTCGATCTGGTTCAGTTTCTCGCAAAAAGTTGGGAAGCTTGGAGTCGAACCTCGTACCCCTATAGGCTAGTTATGAACTCAATAACCACTTGGGCTGGCTCGACTTTGATGACAAATCTAGCTTTCTTATCTTTTGTACCTTCACATATCCAGCCAAAAAATAACAAAGAAAGGAACGCTTGTGTAAATAGCATGGTGCATAAGATTCGTAGTCCCTACCTAACTAAGTCGATGTCCATTAACCATCTCAAACTAAGTAGATTTTTTGTGTGAACTAAGCTCATTTTGTCTTCGGATTGAAAAAATTGTGAATCCGACAAACAAATATAAAAAACAAAACCCCGGTAAATTCTATGTAAATAGCATATGCACCATGCACATGGTATTTTACACAAAAACACCACGGTAACTTTGATCGAGCAAAAAAGTTTTTAAAAATATACAAAAAATACCCCTCGATGGCTTCTGCGTAAATAACATGATAAAATAAACAACTTTGACCTGATAACTTATGTACAACACCATGATAACATTGACCCAAGGAAAAATTGTTGAAAACATCCTATGATAACTGCTATGTAAATAGCATGGTACCCCACGTCACCTCGAGAAAGCTATTTTCCAGTCGACTGGAAATTCGCTAACAGATCCGAACGATTCGGTATCCGTCCGATCGGCATCTCACGGTCACGATCGAGCGAGTAAACTACTCCTTCAACACGTCCCAGGTTGATGACATATACACCCGTTAACTTTTTTGTGAATATCATGGTAACTCACACATTGCACACATGATAACTTATGTATCCCGATGCTG